TATGCACACTATAGATGTCAAACACACAGGCACATACACAGACACAGCCACATGAACACACCTGAATGCACACTTAAACACATGTATATGTGTTACAGCCACGTATGTTTACATGACCAAACATTGTGCACGTGTGCATTTGCATAAAAACACATACCATGTACGCACAGTATGCTCCTTTAAACTCACATGTATGTGAATAGTCATGTGCACACATACCCACATGTGCCACAGACATACACATACTCACCTATGCACAAGGATGTGTGCACTAACACTTGTATGCCGGGATACTCACAAATACACACACAGACACACACACCTGAATTGTAACACATCTAAAACATGTATTCACACTCATGCATATACCGGCGTGCACATATATCATATCCAAACATGCACATACAGGGGGGACCGTGAACACAGAGGGGAGGTGGAGGCAGCACAGCTGGCCCTCATTTAGCCGTGGAGGCCAAGGCCGTATGAGGAGGAGAGGGCTGGTGTGGGGACAGGAAGCAGGGGTCAGTGAGGCCAGGCCAGGGCTGTGGCGGGCGAGGGTGTGAGGACATCCTTGGGCTGGGCGGTCTCACCCTCTCGCCACTTGCCCTTCTGATTAGTTTGACACCAACAGGTGAGGCCTTTGCCAGAGGTGGGGCAGGAGGGGCAGCCAGTGACCTCGGCTCCCGGTGCCCCCTTGGCCTGCCCTGCTGCTGCCCTGCCCAGCTGCTGGAGGCTGTGGCTGGGCCCGCCTTCTGCAGCTTTTGGTCTGAGGATCTGCCATCCCCTCCCCCAGGCAAGGTGCCAAGGGGATGGCGACTAGGCTGGGCCTGTGAGGCCAGCTCAATGTTTGGGGAAACCAAGGCTGAGGATGGGGGTAGAGGAAAGAGCTCAAAGGACAGCTGTCCCTGTGGCCAGGGGGCAGAAGGGGCAGAGCCCCACCATCTCACTGTCCCACCAGCAGTCACCAGCCACGTGCAGCGATGGAGCCCCTGAAGTGTGGCCAGGGCCACCGAGGAACCAGATTTTACATTTTGATTTGATTTTACCTCATTGAAATTTAAAAGCCAAAATTCAATTTAGTTTAGCGGCCGGGAAACTTTGCAGTAGATTTGGAACAACTTGGGTGTGTAAGCCTACAACTTTCTCAGTTGTCAATGCTGTGAAATTTCAATGCGGGTCTAGCGTTCCCCATGAAACTTTGTGTCTGAATGAAAATGGGCTGGATTTCAAAGACAGTATGAAGAAAAGAATGTAAAATAGCTCATTGATAATTTTATATGAATTACATGTTGAAATGATCATCTTTTGGCTAGAATGGGTAAAATAAAATATGTTAGCAAAAATAATTTGCTGTTCTCACATTTTATAACGTGGCTCCTTGGACATTTTAAATGACATTTGTGGCTTGTATGATACTATTTCTGTGGGACAGCTTTTCTCCAAGGCAGCAGCAGTAGCAGGGGCCCAGCTCAGCATCATCTTAAAACAGCTGTTCTTCCTTTCTGGACCTCAATTTCCTCATCTGTGAAATGGGCACCTCCCCCCCAACACCACCTTCCAGCTCTCTACAAATGAGCGGGGGGCAGGGACGGGGGGATGCCAGGTGCCGGGCACTCACTCTGGCCGTACTGGCCGTACTGGTAGCCAGCCACGGGGTCCACGCTGTAGCCGGTGGTGCTGTAGGTGGGTGGGCAGTAGGACTGGGAGGTGGGCAGGCTGTCCCCTGGCTTGATGGAGTCCGCCCGCTGGCTGCAGCTGGCCGAGATGGAGGAGGCCGAGTCCAGGCCGCCGTGCAGCGGGGAGATGGAGAAGTCGGCCTGCGGCTGTGGCGGCACCGCGCTGGGGTTGCTCAGAATGCTCATCACCTGTGGGGAGAGACCATCGTGTGGGCTGAGCAGCAGGGGTGGGGCTGGAAGGACCCCACAGAGGCAAGCGCATGTGGGGACGATGCCAGGCTGGCGTGGGCAGGCCTTTGCTGCAGTCTCTCCCTTGGGGTCCCTGCAGCTTGGAGATCCGTTGACTTGTGGGCTTGCCCTTGAAGGTAAGATGGTTAGCGGTTCCTCCTGGTTAGGTCCTAATCCCTAGAGGCGTCCTCTACTGAGAGCCCTGGGGGTGAGGCGGGCCTGTTTACCGCGCTAGCCCCAGGCCTGACTGAGTAAGTGAATGCACAGCGCATGCATGAATGAATGAACAAACACGCCAATTACGTCTCTCCTATCAGACAGGGACCTGTGCCTCCCCCGTCAGACTGGGATGCTCCCATCTTCCAGCACAAAGGGGTTTCAGCAGGACTCTGGGCCTGTCCGGCTTCACCCCTCATCCTGTGCTATGCTCTTGACTTTGGTCAGGACCTGGTGACCTCTGGGGAAGGCACGACACCGTAGCCTGCCCGAAACCTCTCTTCGGTTCCGGCAGCTCCTGGATGTCTGTGGCCATCACCCACTTCCTCGAGGAGCCGGTTCAGCAAACAGTTCTCACCATCAGCGCTGCCAACTCGGACTGTGAGGGGCAGGCTCCTTTCTAGAAACTCCGCTTCAAGATGGTGTTAACTCATTGGTGTGTTCACTTACTCATTCAACAAACACACACTGAAGGTGACTCTGACCCCAAAACCGAGGCTGAGCCTGGGACCTCAGAGGAGGAAGAGCCATGGCTCCGGCCCTCAGCTGGGGGAGTGTTTGGGTCTGGGGGAGGGGGCACCTAGCAACAGATCATCAAGATGTGGAGTGATGAGGGTTGTTACAGAGGCAGCTCAGGGGCTGTGAGAGCCCAGAGGAGGGCACCCAGCCGGCCAGGGGGCCCAGGAAAGCTTCTGGAGGAGGTGACACCTGTGTCCAGCTGTCCAGGAGAGAGCGGGGAGAGGGGGTGTGGGCAGCAGGATTCCTGCAGCGGGAGAGAGCACGGCACCTAGTCAGACCAGGGGATGGGGGTGGGGGGGAGGCAGACCTTTGTGGGTCTGACCTCAGGGCCAGGACCCTGGTAGCCTCCTGCTAATGCCACCCCTTATGGGAGGGAGGCCAAGTGCCAAGGTGGGGTCAGGCTTGTTGATGGTCTGCCCAACACCGAGCTAAAGAATCCCGCTGCCATCCACACTGGGCACGTGGCTGTGTTCTCTGACTTCCCCTCCCACCTCCTGGGAGATGGTGGGCTCTGGGCATCCGAGCCATGACCTGTGGCATTCTGACAATGTCTGCCTTCTCACTTTTGACTTGTCCCGGCCATAGGCATGGGGGCCTGGCCAGGATCTGCACCCTGAGGCCAGGGCCAGGCACGGAGCTCCTCCACTTCCTGGCTGTGTGTCCCTTACCTTCTGTGACCAGCCCATCCTGAGGAAAAGAGTTGACGATGAACCTGACTCAGAGGGCGCTGGAGGCCGAGCGGAGCCCAGCACGGGGAGCTTTGCGCCCAGCCTGGCACGGCGCAGGCGCTGAGGCATCAGTGACCCCAGCTCCTCGGACCCTCGTCTTCCCACCTCCTTCACTGGCCCTCCTCTCAGCCACCAACTTATGTGACTCCCTGGATCCAGAGGCCTACAGAGACGTGTGGGGCAGAGCTATGACGCCCATTTCTCAGAGGACAAAACCGAGGCCCACGAAGGGCTGGGGCTTCCCCAGATCTCACGGCCAGTCCAGCCGGCCGGACCCTGCCTGCTCGCCTGATAATGCCGAGACGGACTCTCAAGGACGTTTCCGGCACCTGACCCCTCCAGAGGCTCTTACTCCAGGCCCAGCCAGCAGCCACCGGCGGGGGTGGGGGTCTCTCATCCCTGACTCTTCCCTCAGTGCTCCCAACACACCTCCCTCAGCCCTGGGGCATCTCTCCTCTGTCCTTTACCTCCCCCCACCCCTTCCCAGAGCCAGAGGCCAGGGCATGGGCCTGCTGGGCTGGTCTGTCTCCACTGCAGCTGGTGGGATTTAGGTGGTCTTCATGGTGTGTCACCCACTGAGATGGCAATGACACAGGGCACGGGACTGTGAGAGGGGAAGTCTGGGTGGGAGGTGTCGGGGCGACTTTGTGCAGCAGCACTGTTTTAGGGAGCGGAGGTCTCCCCGATTCTCTCTGCACTGAATGTGCTTCTAAGGCCTCTGTCATGGGGGGGGTGCGGACACAGGGTGCTGGGGTGGTGGCTAGAGGGACCCTGGAAAAGGGGGTCCCCGTAGTGAGGGTGTGAGGACATCTGACCCCATCAGGCTGTGCTTGCTGCCTTCTGACTGTGGAGACGGGGCCTCCTGGACCTGAGATATTTGTTGTGTGAATGGGGGGTGGGGGGTTCTCTGGGAAAACTCAGGAATCTCATGATGCCCTGGGAGTTAGGAGACCCCATTCTCTCCCAAGTTCCTGCCTAGACCTCACTTTCCAACTAAATTAAGAAAATCACCCCCATCCTATTCCCCACCCCATGCAAACACTAGCCCTGCCCCTTCCTCCGAGGAGGCCTGGGCCCCAGAACAGACTCAGGCTCGGGGGAAGCACACGCCCATTTCCCTGGGGGGCGGGAGCCTCTCGGGAGGGTGTGTCAGCTCAGGCGAGCTAATCCCTTCCTCCTGGATGTCACTACGAGGCCCGAAGAGACATGGGATGGGGGGAGAGTAGAGAGAGGATGGGGGTGTTCTGGGGACGAGATGGGAACTGTGCACAGAGCCACTCACACTGCAGGATGGGACCTCCAGGGACCTGCCTCAGAGCCACTCACACTGCAGGACGGGACCTCCAGGGACCCGCCTCAGAGCTGACCATATCACTCACATCACTCACGCATCACCGTGGCTTCTCAGTGCCTTCCAGGCAAACAGGGCAAAGGTTTCTTGTGCTGACTGCTACCTGCCTGTCCCAACTCCTCCCTGCCTTTTCCTTCCTTGCACTTGAAATCCCAGCCACACCAAGCTGTGGTGTTTGCTAAGGACATCTTTTAGTCACTCCACAAGCATTTCACAGAGGGCTGCCCCTGCCAGGCCGGAGGGAGGACTGCACTGTGACTCCTTGAGGCCAGGATGAAGCTGCATTTCGTCCATCTTTGTGGACCCAGTGCCTACATGGTGTCCGTTACATACTATGAGCTCAGAAGAAGCCTGTGGAATTCATGCATAGTCACATCCCGCATATTTAGTGAGCACCTACTATGCGCCAGGCCCTGAGATGCACCTACTATGTGCCAGCCCCTGAGATGCAGCCGTGAGCTTTAGCAACGCCATGCTCTCCTAGAGTTGCCAGTTTAATGAAGAGGCTGACAACAAACAAGTAAGTCATAGAATTCGCAATACTGGTAAGTGCTATGGAGGAAAATAAGGAAGGGGGTATGTGAAGCAGTTAGGCAAGACCGCCCCAAAAAAGGTGATAGCGAGGCCAAAAAAAGAACCGGCATGAGAAGATGTAGCAGACAGCTTTCCAGGCAGCGACATCAGCAAGTGCAAAGGCCCTGAGGTGGGCACATGCCCAGCAAGTTAAAAGAATAAGAAGAAGGTCAGTGTTGTGAGAGGAAACCCCGAGCCCCTGAGCACTGCAAGGCCTCCCAGGATCCTTCATCAGAGGGACTAGTGTGGTGCCCAGTGGCTCAGGAGGCCTCGGACCCTGGGCCAGTAACAGACAGCTCGGAATCAGCTCTAGCCCAGGGAGCTCTTACTGTAATGAGATTTGTTCAATGGGATTTGCCCTGGAACATCACATCAAATTCACATCTGGGGTAGGTGTGAATGGGGGAGGGGCGGCATCTGCCTGCTCTCTCCCAGAGTCCCTGGAGGCCTGTAGATCAAAGGGCTTCCCTCTCATCCAGCCCCCGCTTGGGCATGGCAGCTTCCAAGCAGACAGGACAGGACCCAGCTGAAGAGGGGGGAGTTGGGAGCAGTGACTCCTCATGGAAATAGACTATCAGGCCCTCATTCTGCAGTTGGGGAGGGAGAAAGGCGCATCCATGCTAACACAACCAGTAAGTGGCAGAGCTGGGATTTGAACCGGGGTCTCCCTGACCTCTAGGCTGTGCCTTCCCCACAGCAGGCAGTGCTGGAGAGAATGGAGAGGGCCCCCTCGGCAGCCCCACAGCCCAGGGCCTTCCCGGAGTCCCTCTCTGCCCGCAGAAGCAGAAAGTGTTTGCCCACCGTTAGGGGCCTAGCCGAGGTCTGGAGCCTGCAAACTTTTGAACTTGAGGAAGTCCGGGTCTGATGTGGTAATCTACCACCCCCCTCAAGAATGTTCAGGCCTCTCCCTGGTGGGTTTTACTTTTTCCCGGTGACCTTGCTTTCACTAATGTATTACTTCTTGGTACGTTACCGTTACTAACTCAAAATCAATACCGACCTCCACATCTGTAAGGTTTTATCTGAAGGCAAATCTCCCGGCTGTCCGTCAGGCTGAGTGACAGCCATCCCTTCCTCCCCCGCCCCTCACCGGCCAGAGCCCCCCACCCGCCCCCAGCCCCTTCCTCTCCCTCTGCTCTAAATCAGTCCCAGCCTCCACCAGACTAAATCAATAAGGGGCCGGCCTCACCCCCCTTCCGCCGCTGGCTTGCAGGTTTTGGGGGGTGGGAGCCGAGGGAGCCCCGTGCCAACCCCCCTTCCACATCCTCTGCTCACCGCCCCCGCCCCCCGGGACTTGCCGGCGCTCCCCTACTTTAAAAGAAGGGGATGGGAAAAATGTAATTAATTCCCTCCGTTCCTGAGCTGGCCCGGAGGGCCTGGGACCGAGGAGGCTGAGCTGTGAGATCTGCACCCTCTGTGATAACCGAACGTGGCTTTGGGAGCGAGGCTGCAATTAGAAGGGGTGATCGCCATCATCGGGGCTCCCTGGCCGGTTCGGGTGGATGAGTGGGGGCCTCAGCAGGAAGCAGAGGGAAGAGGGAGGGGCAGGGATGAGACTGATGAGGTCAGGACAT